TTATTATATATATCATTCTTGTTATTATATTTATTTTGTTATTTATCATTATTGTTATATTTATTGTTATTATTATATTTATTATCTTTATTATTATATTTATCATTATTGTTATATTTATCATTATTGTTATTTTTATCATTATTGTTATATTTATCATTATTGTTATATTTATCGTTATTGTTATATTTATCATTTTTGTTATATTAATTGTAACTTTATTTTAATGATTTTTTATTATTTGCTAATAGAATTACAATTGATAATTTAAATGTTTCATTTGCAGAATTATGCTATATATCAATGTATTTAAATAAATACTATTTGTTATTTTTAAAGCCAAAACGTATTATGATTTCTATTTTTCCAAGTCTTTGGAATCTGCTTTTGCTTTTTAAATTGGTTACAGTTTTCTACAAATTTGCATATTGGTCCAAAGTTCTTGTCGATATCATTAAGCCATTTATTACTATTCGGATTCAACATATTTTCTTCAAGAATTGTTTTTGTTGAATCAAGCAATTCAAAAATTTCTTGCTTTTACTTTTTAAACAGAATTAAGTCTTGATTAATAGAATCATCATATTCTTGTAATTGACATTTTGATATTTCTTTAATTTGATATTCCAATGCTTCTTGAGTTTGATATTCTGATATTTCTTGATTTTGATATTTTGATGCTTCTTGAGTTTGATATTCTGATGCTTTTTGAGTTTGATATTCTGATACTTCTTAAGTTAGACATTCTAATGTTTTTTGATAATTAGATTTTCTATTACATATAATTAATTTACAAATTTCAGGAGTAAGAGTTTTAACTGCAAGATAAACATTTTTTGGTAAATCTAAAAAAAAGAATTTATCTTTAATTTTCAATAAAGGATATGATTCTTGATACGTAATCTTAATTAAATAAAATGTTAAATTTTAAATTATGCAATTATAATTTTATTACATACTTACTTTTTTAAAAAATCCAGGTTCTACAGGATTACGCATTTGTACTAAATGCTTACAAAAATAAAATCGATTTAAAAGAAAATTAGAATATGAGCATACCCAAAATAAAAGGTTAGTAATACGATTAGGGTTGTTCTTAATTATTTCAGTTGATAATTTTTTCTATTCAGCTCGAAAATCTTCACGCCATTTTGTTATATATCATTCATCACATAACAATTGTAATCGATCAATCTGACGTGGAATAACCTTAGTAATAATAATATAAATAATTAAATCCAATCGTGCATAATTATAATTTGAAAAAAAATCATGCTTTAAAACTCGTCAATGGCTTTCAATAGCCATAGTACTTCATAAAATATTAATTTTTGAATTTGATGTATGTGCCCAAATTTTCCACATTTTGGGATGATACCACTTATTCCACAAGTATGCCCATACATGTGAAAGATTATTTTTATAGCAATAGTCAAATTGCTCTTTAATGCATATATTCCAAATTTGCTTTGCATTCAAAAAATTCA